TCTGTAGGAACTGGTGAGGTTTTGCTGCCCCATCCCTGGAATCGTCCAAAGTCCTGTTCCGGGGACATTGTCTGTATCCATGGTGTGGAACAAGCTGGGATTTTAGGGCTTTTCCAGGCCCAATCCCTGCTGGAATTCCAATCTCCCCCTCCTTGCCTTGCCCACAGCACGAGTGTCAACACCACCACTCCAAGACCAAGAAACATTCAAAGAAATCCAAAAAACATCACCGGAAGCGCTCCCGTTCCCGCTCCGTGAGTATTCCCGAAAAACCTSCCTCTGCAATTCCTAACTGCTGCTAATTCCCGCTGTGATTCCTGTTGTTAATTGCCATAATTAATTACAATTCTCCCCTGGGTGGTGTGTGAAGGGTTCTGAGTCTGAGGATGATGACAGCCACTCCAAGAAGAAGCGGCAGCGCTCGGAATCGCGGTCGGTGTCGGAACGTTCTTCCAGCGCCGAATCCGGTACGGGATGGGATGGGATCCATGGGATGGGATGGAATCCATGGGATGGGATGGGATCCATGGGATGGGATGGGATCCATGGCATGGGATGGGATCCATGGCATGGGATGGGATGGGATCCATGGGATGGGATGGGATGGGATCCATGGGATGGGATCCATGGGATGGGATGGGATCCGTGGGATGGGATGGGATCCGTGGGATGGGATGGGATCCGTGGGATGGGATGGGATGGGATGGGATGGATCCATGGGATGGGATGGGATCCATGGGATGAGATGGGATGGGATCCATGGGATGGGATGGGATGGGATCCATGGAACGGGATGGGATCCATGGGATGGGATCCATGGAACGGGATGGGACCCATGGGATGGGATGGGATTGGCTTCAAATCAGAATAAAATAAATCCCTGGAGATTTAGCCATTGATTCCTGGGTTTTTTGTTTCTCCCTGTGGCTGCAGAGAGGAGTTATAAGAAGTCCAAAAAACACAAGAAGAAGAGCAAGAAGAGGAGGCACAAGTCTGTAAGTGAAGCTCGTTTTTAAACTGGATTATGGATTAAACCTGGCACCTGCTGTAATCCCAACTGTTTTTTCCAAGGGAAAAAAATTTTGGGGATCAAACTGGAGGAGGGTATTGCCAACATAACAACTTTCTGTTACATATTCTTAATATTCAACCACTTCAAACTGCTGAATGTGGAGGTTTAACTCCTGTGAAGGATTCTTTGAGTAACCTGGGATTTGCTGGTTATCCTGGCTAATCCAGGTGTTCCCTTTTGTTGTGGAGAGCTGGGAAGGATCCCAGCCATTCCTTGTGCCTGCCTGAGCATCAGGGTTGTGGTGTGGAAGCTCTGAGTTGTTGTGTGGGAGCAACAAAAGGACCTGGCAAAGGTTTCCCAGGAAAGCTGGGGCTGCTCCATGCCTGGGAGTGTCCAAAACCAGGCTGGACAGGGCTTGGAGCAGCCTGGGACAGTGGGAGGTGTCCCTGCCATGGCAGRGGTGGCACTGGATGRGCTTTAAGCTCCCGTCCAACTTAAATCATTCCATGATTCTACATTTCTTTAAATTGGACTTTGCTGTATTAATGAATATTTTAAATATTAATGTGGAATATTCCCCCCCTTTTTTTCCCCCAGGATTCACCAGAATCTGATGTAGAACGAGAGAAGGACAAGAAGGAGAGAGAGAGGGACAGTGAGAAGGAAAGAGCCCGACAGAGATCCGAGTCCAAGCATAAATCTCCCACTAAAAAACGGCCTGGAAAAGATTCCGTAAGTTCTGCTCCCTTTTTATCCCATGCTTTGGGCCCTGGCAGCAGGATCTGCTGGGTGCAGCTCTGGGAAAGGTCTGAGGGGTTGGATTGTGATGATCCTGGAGATCTCTGCCATTCCCAAATTTGGTTTTTGGGATTCCCAAGTGACACAGAGCAGCCAGCTCTGGCTGTGTGTCCCTGCTGGAGCTCCAGGGTGGAACCTTCCCAGAAAATCCCGTCCTGACCACTGTCCCATCTCTCCCCAGGGAAACTGGGATACCTCTGGCAGCGAGCTGAGCGAGGGGGAGCTGGAAAAACAGAGGAGGACTCTTTTGGAGCAGCTGGATGAAGATCAATGAGAAGATCCTTGATACCAAAAACGTTTACAGGTGGCAAAATAAAACCGAGCCTTGCGTGGGCCAGGCCTTGGGGCCGGGCCGCTGGCTTGTAGTTTGTTACCGCTTCAATCCAGTCACAAGTAGAAAAATCCATGGAATTCTGAGGGCAAAGCTGTGCCTGGCCTGGAGCTGGGGGGCGGGCTGGGATCCTCGGAGGTGGCAGCAGTGGCCCCAAGTCCCTTCCCCGTGTCCTTCCCAGCCAGGGAACCCAGACTGGCAGAGCCCAGTCTGGCTTTGGGACAAAACTTCCCCACTGAATTGCTTGTGGTTTCCTTCACTGGATGGATTGGGTTGGGAGGGTTTTTTGAGAAAGCAGCAGGAGTGAGGAATCCGTGTTCTGCAAAGCCCTGGATATTGGGATTGTTTGGCACCGGAGGYTTAGTCCGAGTCTAAGCCGTGTCCTGACTCCAATCCCAAATCCCCGGGAATGCGGCGATGGGAATTSTGCTGTGCCAGCAGAGGGAGYGTGTAGGACACAACCACCTCGGCATTCCCTGAATCCCCACCCGGCCCAGCCCRGCCCTGGCTGCTCCTCCAGCATTTCTCTCCCCGTTTTCTCTTCCCCCTTCCGAAAATTTAGGAATAAAAATCCAATGTAAAACGCAATTCCATGTGTTGCCTTAAGAGCCTGCTGCAGAATGTACCTGCACAGCCCAGAGCAGCCCAGAGAAGGGAGGAGGAAGCAGCTCCAGCCCTGTTTTTCCAGGCCCTGCCCTGTCAGGAAGGTGCCCCCAGCCCTGCTCGGTGAGAAAATTGGGAAGCCGCTGTCCTTGGAATATTTTTGTACATTTTTATCGATGATTAAACCTTGTCTTTTAGCTTGTACTGGTATTGAGTTCTCCTTAAATACTCTGTACAGCTCTGAGCYATGAAATCATTCACAAAAGCTCTTGGAAGACTGCTCAGATTCCTTTTGAGTTGTTAAGTTTGGGCCTTAAATTTTTGGGTTGTTTTGAGCGGATTTATAGCAAATATTAATCCCAATTTATTTCTCTCCTGGAGCTGATCCAGGTGTCTCCCAGGAGCACCCACCCAAAATTTCCTCCCTCAGACTCTTCCAGAATAACAAAGAGTAAATTGATGCTGCAAATTATTTCAGGGTCGAGCCACACAAACTCCAGGTGTTCACCTATCAAATATCACCATTCTTTTTTGGAAAAAAAGGTGAAAATGACCCAAAGAAGTCCTCTGGATTTCAGAGTAGTAGTGTAAATAGTTTATTTGATTTTATGGCAGGAACAGACCAGGAAAGGAATGTGAACTGCTTTAGAAAACACTTCTAATCTYGCTAAGCAGCAGATCTATGACTAGAAAAATATTAAAGAGAACATGCCAGCCTGCCTTTCGTTTGGGCTTTAATTAGAAAAATACCTTTGAGCTGAAGAAAATGAGATTTCTTTAGTGCTTCTAMCCCAACAAGTGCTGAATTTTCAATTCAAATTGTCCCAATTTGCTTTGATCCAAACATTCTGACCGTGGCATGTTCTCTTTAGCAGGTCAAGTACACGGTGCTGGAAATGCAAAAACTGGCAGTTTTTCAAGGAGAAATTCCTGGAAATTGGTCCATATGGTAACTCTGAGTCCCCAAACTGTCCTTTTAGTTAAATATAAAAACAAAAACTATAAGTTAAAATAACATTCAGATTGTATAGCACAGGCTTGATGCATTTATTTCCTTTTAAACAATATTTACAATATTACCCAGAGGCTAAAGTGGGGTAGGGGCGGGGGGGGGAGTGTAAAAACCATAAAAAACTGCACCAATTTTGTAGCAAAATATCTGTACATTTAAAAACAGATTCTCATATAACTACACATTATCCAAGGGAAGAAAAAAAAAAAAAACCAGGGACCTTCACCAGTGGTTCATGGTAGCACAACGGGAAAGGGGAGAAGAACTTGAGTGGTTAAATACTATACAAGAAATTTTACAGTGAACAGCTGCAGGAGCCCAGGCAGGGAAGCTGGAAGCRAAATGGGCCTTGGGAAGGACAGATTTCTGCTCAGTCCAGTTTCTCCCAGCTCCTGGAGGCTGCGGGCACCCAGTGGGGTCTGTCCCGCTGCTCCAGGGCACGGCATGGTCCCAAATCAACCCTAAAATGTCCCTTTTTAGGCTCGGAAAACACCACCTGGGACTTAGAGGCTGGGCTCACCTTCCACAGGAGCCTCAACAGGAATGTGAGCAGGATCGGGATCCCCATGCCAGGAACTGGACTGCAGTGGTCCTCAGAGCCTAATACTGATTACTGGCTGTTAATTGCTTAGTGCTAATTAATAAATATGCTGTTATGCCTTCCTTGGCCCCCCAGCCAAGGCCCTGGAGCATCCCGCACCCTCTGGGGTGGGGGTGACCTCTTGTTCCATTCCTATCCCTGTGATCCTGGGCCCACATTCCAYATGGGGGCTGGGAAAAGGGCTGGGTCGCTCCTCGGGATTATTAATTCCGTGTATAGGAAGCCCTTAAATGTGTTTGTTTGCAGTTTTAATTAAAAAAGAGCCATTAAGTGCAGCTGAAGGCCGGGCCCGCCCCTCGGCCCAGCAATAAATGCCAAGCACATCCCAGTTTTCCCAGTTTCCAACCGGTCAGGCCCACGGGAGCCCTCRCTCTCTTCACCCCAACCCCTCCCCGTCCCAACCCATATTTTACATTTTGGTTCCAAATCCTGCAAAGCCTCGGCGTGCGGACAAACAAACCCAGCCCGGTCCTATTGCTCGGATCGGCGGCAGCAGGAGCTTCCGTCTGAGGCACTTGGCGTGGGGAGCGCGGCGGGGCCGGGTCCCTGAGGGGCCGGGATCCCCCAAGGGTTCCATGGGGCCGGGTCCCTGAGGGGC